GGTGGGAGGATGGGTTAGCCTGGTGATGGGTATTAAAGAGGGCACGTTCTGCATGGAGCACTGGGTGTTATATGCAAACAATGAATCGTGGAACACTACATCAAAAACTAATGATGTAATGTATGGTACTAACATAATAAAATAAAATTTAAAAAATAAACTTAAAAATAAAAATTTGTGAGAAAAATCATGTCCAAATGGCAAAAATAGACATTTCCTTACCTTTTTCCATATGGGCACCTTGGCTTTTAAAGTATCAATGGCATAGCTCACAGCTTGGAGGGATGCGGCCCTATGGGCTGAGGACACAGCGATGATAATGCTTGCTTCTGACACTGGAACTAAGCTTTAACAAAAATGAAGAAAAAATAATGCCATTTCTTCTGAATCTAGTTAAAGAATCTACTAAACAGATGAAAAAAAAAAATTCCAGTAAAACATTCTTACAACTAAACATCCAGTTCTGTTTTACATAAACTTCCAGGTTAGTTAAAAACAGTAATTGATCCAAATTGCATTCAGCAGAGGGGATGCTGAGGTGGTGGCTAATTTGTTAGCATCGATCCATTAAACCTGTCTGATGGGCACTGAGAAAAAGGCCTTTCAGTGATTCTATCTGATTCAAACAAGGCACAGTGCCAGACAATGCCTAGAGACACAAACTTACTGCATGGTGAGTACAGTGTAGAATTTAAAATATTAAACAGAAATAAATAATCATAGAATTGGTAAAATTAATAAAATTAAAATTATTAATAATAAAATAGCAACTAATGGAAAATAACAGAATGGAGTCTCTATTCCTGGGTTCTTTTTAAAGCGTGGAACTCCACTCTTCTTAGTGGTACGAAAAGACAAATTAATTTAATGACCTTCAAAGGCATTTACATAAAAAAAAAAAATCTATTAACAGACTTGTCATACAAACTGAGTCCAGACTATGAAACAATTCTTTAAAAGGCCTTAAGGACTTTAGCACACATTAGCACAAGCCATCTGTGCAAGGGGAGGGGGGGGGCCTTGGAGTTTTGGCACATTTGGACTTTGTTACAGCATCAGCCACTCTCCAAATGTTACAATGTAACACCCAGAGTGTCTCCACTCTGTCTGCCAGAATCACTCACAAACCTTCCTCTCATGGTAATACAGGATTCCTATGGAAGATTCCAGAATCAGAATCAGTACAAAGATGGAAAACAACTGCAATTAACGTTTAAATTGCTAAAGGAAATCATACCCAAGTCTATGAAACACTGCTATATGTCTGACTGGCCATTTCTGCCGAATGTCACTACAGATCTTTCTGATTTCATTTTCTGCCATTGGGAGATATGCTTCATATTCTAAGCTAATGACTTTTTTCCCTTCAAAGTTATTTCTTGTAGTCCCTAAAAAAAAAAAAGAAAGAAAGAAAAAGAAAAATATTAAAATAAGGTTTTTCCTTACAATAGAAACAACACATTAATAGAAAAGAGGATTATTTTTTAAAAGACAAGCAGCATACCGATTTGTCTAAAAAATGCTTTCAAATTTTCTAAAAACAAAAACCTGGTTAGAAAAATTAAAAATAGGGGCGCCTGGGTAGCTGAGTCAGTTAAGCGTCTGCCTTCAGTTAAGCGTCTGCCTTCAGCTCAATCATGATCCCAGGGTCCTGGTATCGAGTCCCACACAGGGCTCTCTGCTCAGTTGGGGAGCCTGCTTCTCCCTCCCCCTCTGCCTGCCCCCTCTGCCTGCCGCTCCCCCTGCTTGTGCTCTCTATCAAATAAATAAAATCTTTAAAAAAAAAAAGAAAAAATAATTATCACAAAGATATAGAAATAAAATGACACTGATTAGGCAAGCATACCAAAAATACTCATAGGACAAACCAATATGGGAAACATTATGCTCCCAGGATTATCATTAAGTTAGTATCACTATCATTTTTCCCCCTCAATATTTGTAAAATACAGAATTCTCCCTGCTCATAATGACTTTTATCCTACTCTTTTAATGCCTTTAATATAGGTTAATCTGAAGATTACTAAAACAAAATAAGAACCAAAAAAATTTCTACCCACCACCATGGGTAATCTTGGCTTACTGTTCTCAGTATCTTCAAATCCTCTATTAACACTGAGCGTGGGAAACACTTGCTAATTTCTCTTGTCTTATGCAGTCAACAGATGCTGTGAACATGACAACTCACCTACAAACAGGGATACCGCACCACAGAGTGGAGAAATCACCAACTGTGAGGCTTCATCTATGGACAGCTTCTCAGTGGTGAATTTTATTATCTCTTTAGCTGACTCTTCAACTTCCTTCAGCCCTTCCCTAGAAGATATTAATAAACCTTAACATTGGTACTAGAGGCAAAACACCCAACTTACAGACTATTTTTCAATTTATATTTTTTGTACATTAGATGTGATAGAATGATAAAAGTAAGCAGGTGTAAAATTTTAGCAAAATCCAGCATGTTTATAAATATTCCTAATGAATCAAGGACAATATAAAAAGGAATTTACCATTAACAGGATCAACTTAAAATGTAATCCATCTCATGTGCCACTTTATTCCAAATTCTGGAATTGCGGCTCTTCTCTCCCATCATGGGGTGGGTCAGACATCGACACTCCATCCACACGCATGTCACCTCTAACCACTCTATTTCCATGCACCACACCCAAACTGCCTTTTTCTTTATCCAAAAAGAAGACAAGGAGAACAAAAGCAATGCTGACTCCACAGGAACTGGACTCATTTTATAACCGGACATAATCCAGTTAAGTAACTGAAGAAATAAGGAAATGAACTGCGTGCCTATCACCAGATGTCGTACAAAGCCCTTTGCCATGCATTTCTCATTTCATTCATCAAGCATCTATTACATACTCACTAAGAGACCAACCCCATGCACTAGACAAGGACCAGGGAACAAACAACCTGGCTCCTGCCCTCAGGGCACCTACACAGGAATGGAGAAACAAAGCAAGAGAGAAAAATTATATACAGGGGTAACATAAACAGGGTTCTGAGACAGAGCATGGGTGCTGGGGAAGAAGGGCTGTGTAAGAGCATCAGGGAAAGCCTTTCTCAAGAGATAGTATTTAGAAGTGAGACCTGAAAGATAAGCAAGCAGTCCTGTAAAGAAACAGGGGAAAATGCCCCCAGGCAGAGACAGACAGAATGGCAAATGCAAAGCCTCTAGGACAAGAAAGACCAAGGTGTGCTCCAGAATCTAAGGGGACGCTGGAACCCAGGGTTCAAAGGAGGGAACAGATGGGCTGAGAATGGGCACGCAGGTCGGGCTTTGCAGGATGAGGAGTCTGGATATAATCATAAATCCTGAGGGATTTTATTCACATTGAGAAAGAAGGCTCAGAGGAGTTGAGGACTCATTCAAGGTGATTCCAGTTAGGGACTCTCACTAAATCCAATGTTCTTTTCCCTATACTTCCAGCTACTGAAAAGAAAAGCACAAACATTCACATTCCACTGGATTCTAAGATGTTTCAACCTTCTGTACATGCCACCTGAGCTTCTTACAAGAACTTATAGGTAACCCAAACATGGTCTATGCTCTATGAACTTGGAACCACACCAAATTCCTACAACTTGATTCTATAGGGACATGGATTCTAAAAACCCCATGATACAAATCCTGTCAAACACCTTCAAACAATACATAATGCTGTTTGAGTAATCTTCCTAAGCTTTCCAAAGAACACCCTTTAATCTCTCTTTCTCTCTCTCTCTCTCTCTCACACACACACACCCCTTTAATGGCAGCATACTATTTTCTGAATAAATTCCAAACTCAAGAAAATGGCATTTTTCTAAAATCATGGTGGTGATATGGTTACCAGTTTCCCAGTAAAACTGAGAAAAATATGACAAGAAATTCTATTATTTCCAAATAGTGGGACTAAGAAAGATCCAGTCTTTACCAGTATGATGGGTAACTTGCTTTGCAATATATATTCTTCACTTTTGGGGGCACTGCCCTCCAGCAGAGTGGAGGAAAAAAATAGGTGAAAAAAATAAACTGGCATCCTTGGTATGTTCCTTTCTTTACTGAAACCAAGGTTTTGCCATTGAGTATGGTATTTACTCTTGATTTTGGAGAAAAGCCCTATCACATTAAGAAAGGGGTTTTTTTCATTCCTAACTTACCAAAAACTTTTAATTAGGGATAATCATTAATTTCTACATTATTTGTTCTTCAACTGTCAATAAATTAAGCCTCATTCTGTCTCTCCAGACTACACTAAGAGATATTCTTATGCATCATCCTACTTAGATAAAGACTATGCTGTTTGCGGGGCGCCTGGGTGGCTCAGTTGGTTAAGCGACTGCCTTCGGCTCAGGTCATGATCCTGGAGTCCTGGGATCGAGTCCCGCATCGGGCT